TCCAGGTCCAATCACCTTAGATTCAATGCATCCAGGTCCAATGGCCTTAGATTCAAAGTGTCCAAGTCCAACCACCTTAAACTCAAAGTGTCCGGGTCCGATCACCTCTTTATTGTATTCGTTATTTGTGGACGTTAGTGTGAAGGATTCGAGGATTTAGCACATAGGTACTGCTCTTCCGAGTTTCGATGCAGCCAACTGGCAATGTCCAGCGCAGTGAGTTTATTAATTCGGGCTGCGATTAGAGTTGGCCACCTTGCGGAGTCAATTCGTGTAGAAGCCTGAAGGTTCTGGAAGACGCAGTTTATCGCAGAGCACGCTGCGTTCTATACTGAAGACACCTAACAGCGGTAGCAATTTGTTCGAGTTCATCACGCCGCAAAATGACAAACAGGGATTCTCCCACCGCGTCCTCGACACACCTTGATTGCCTCAGCCAAGGATCCTCAGCTTCGTCTCGCGGAGCACCCAATTACTCGGAATTTAGCGAGCCGTGGCATAGCGCTGCGATGAAACTGCAATCAAAGTCCGTCTTGCACTAAAGTGGCCAACAGTACTTAAACTCCCTCTTGTGTCCTCTCCCCGAGGCTGAAGCAACAATCAAGTTGCCTCGTGTGTCCCCAACGTCTCGTCTTCCGTTTCACCGACGCGGACGACGGCCGAAGCGAGTCAGCGATCGGAGAAACTGATCTTACCAACTACCGAGAGACCGACGACATGAAGAACAAGCCAGGCACCTCAGGTTCGAAGTGGCTAGGTCCAAGCACCTCAGATTCGAGGATTTCCAGGTCCAATCACTGTAGATTCAAAGTGTCCAGGTCCAATCACCTCAAATTTAAAGAATCGAGGTCCAATGGCCTCAGATTCAAAATGTCCAGGTCCAATCACCTCAAATTTAAAGCATCCAGGTCCAATCGCCTCAGATTCAAGGAATCCAGGTCCAATCACTTCAGATTTAAAGAATCCAGGCCCAATCACCTCAGGTTCGAGGATTTCCAGGTCCAATCACCTCAAATTTAAAGCATCCAGGTCTAATGGCTTTAGATTCAAAGTGTCCAGGTTCTCTCAGCCACGTGTTAGAGTTACCTCGATATTTCGCGAGTTATTTCAATCGATCGGAGGTTGACTACGAAAGTGGAGAACGAATGCCAGGGCTACCTGGACCGCGGGGTCGACCCGACGTTCTTGTTTACATCACGAAGGGAACCGGTGAACGCGACGCGATGCGACGGTCTATCGTCACGGACCGCTTGCGAGGCCGCAGTGAACTGTGGGCTTTCGCTGCTTTCCCGCTTTTCGCCACCCTCTGCCGCCCTGGCGGCAGCACTGTGGGCGTCTGCACCTTGCCTACCCTGCGCGGACGCCACCCACGGACGCCCATTCCGAGAAGACGCTCCCCCGTTTCTCCGCGAAAACGTTAAACAAGAATACTTTAATATTCCCGAAACTTAAGTTCGATTTAACACACGTTCGCGTAAATAAACAAAGAAAGATCTTTCGTCGCGTCTCAATAAACATCGTACGAGGGTCGTTACTTGTGCTTGTAAATATAGGTAAACAAGTTTGCTATTTTCATTGCTTTGCCATAATTTGTTACAGAGAAGCGGGGGATATTGATTTTGGGCGGCAGAGGAAATGTTCTTATCTTCGGGTGACACCGAAATTCGGTACTATTCGAGGTTGTTACTTACTACGAATCGTTTCGGGTCGCTTTTACGGGCCGGGGTTTCACCGTGCGATGGATTCTTATTGGTTTCGAATGCGTGGCGAGTTCTCCGGGGTCGTCGGGGATTGCTCAAATCTTCATCCGCGTCCAGCAGTATTTTTTAGTTTGCTTGTAAGAGGGTCGACCTTTGTCGGTTTAAGCTCAGGAAAAGTCCCTTTCGGAAAATGCCATCGTTTATCACTGTTTTCCGCGATTCTTTCCAGTTTATTTTGAGTAGCTACACGAGTTTCCTTCTACGATTTTACGACGATAAGAAACATTCCGACTGTCGTTAGGCCCGACTCGATTAATTTGGAAAAATAATTACATTTTATCGTTACGTTCTGAAATATGGGGAGAGGGCAGAGAGCAAAATCGTTCTTTTTAGGTTACATTCAAACAAATAAATAAAGGGAGGTTATGTTTCGATCGGTGAGTTGAATGATCAATATGTTTGACATTTTTCGGGCGGCTAAAAATGTCGCGAAAATTAGAAAGAGTTTTCAAATCTTCAAGGAAATTGGTATTTTTTAAGTTACTTGGGCCGCAAATTACAAATCTGATATCAGAATTGCGAAATTCATAATGTCCTTATACTTCTTCGATTTAATATTCTCAAATAAATTCTATTTACTATTTCTCCCGTGTCTAATTTATTCGTCACCCTCCATCATCCAAAATCCTACATACATTTATAACGTGTATTTATAACGTGTTTATTTTCGATCAATTCTGTAATCGTCCTCGTTATCAACAATTTTTTGCCATCAAATGTTCAAATGTTCAATACCTGATCAATAAACATCAATTGGTGCACAGCGAAATGCTAAATAATAAACAATTAGTGACATTCGCAGAAACGACATTACTTTCTGGTCCCCCTGATATCTTCGAGATGTCTTCGTTACGCGAGATTAATTGAACGCCGGAGAATCCGTCCGATGAAGTCAACTTTGCCCGTTTTAAAGAAAGGGAACTTTAGCTCGCGAACCGCTTTGTTCGTCCTTATTATTAGAACTCCTCTCCAGGAGAAAAAACGAGCTTTAAAGGTTTCGATAGAAACGTCCGGCGAAGGATCCAGCGTCATCCATGGCAATTTCACCTCTATTCGTCTTTCTTCCGCATTCTTGGTCGAATAGTTTCCGAGGTTGCAAGGGTGATGCAGCCACTATACGCGATTTCTTGCAATTTCATCGTCGACGCGACACAATGCAACTTGATTCTCGGCTGGGGCCATTTATTCCGCCAGTTTCGCTTCGCCTTCCCCAACATTAACCGACGAACTAAATTCCTGTTCGCTTCGTGCCACTGCGAACAGCGCGAAAGTCGAAAACGACTCTTCTTTCGATGATTGATATACAAATATTTTAACGAGTTGAAAAAAGAATCGAAAATGCACGAGCACGGAACGCGATGATGTTCTTTGTTCTCGATCGTGTAAACGGTCCAGATCCGTTCGATCCGTTTTCAACGAACGAATTCATTCGAAAAATGTTTCGACTCATTCACAGTTGGGACAGCGTGCGTTGCGATCGCGGCTGGAAAACATTCCTCGTGTTTATTCGCCCTGACGTGAAAAAAGAAATTATATTTATACAAGAGAGAGACTGTTTTAAACGACGCGTGAAAACTGCACGTTCGGTTCGTTTATTTGAACGGGTGCAATGTTTGCAGTCGATTCGTGACGGATTTTACGTACATATGTATCCGTCTTTGTTTACATCGCGTTAAATTGCTGATAAATATACTCGCTGTGCCACCCCGAAAAACAATAGCGCGCCGTGCGATCGATAAAAAATTATATCTAGTATCTAATTCGTTAAATCCGTCGCAATTTACCGGGCGATAGATCGGTCGGAGCCTCGTTAAACTCGACGAAAGCGCGTTGGAAAATGAATGTCTACAAACACGGTCGTATCACGTGTCATTTATCAATTCGAATGGCTCGTGGAGTTCCAACAGAGTCGGATGAATTTATCGCAGTTTGAACATCGATTTCCTTCGGCTATCAGCCCGACGCTGACGTTTCAATTCGACGCTTTGTGCAGGCCGTTGGAGAATAATGAGTTCGGATAAAGAAGGCATTTGGCAGAGTAACGTGCTATGTAGTTTCTTTCAAATTTCGTTTCGGTGTAATTTTTACTATTAATTTTATTATTAATTTTTGTGTCATTTCGTACGAGCCACGACTTCGGTAACGTTGTTGATCGCAACCAGGAAAAATTTATCTTCTGGTAGCCATCGCTTTGAAAGGAGATTCGAGTGTTCCGTGAGAGCCTATTGAACGTGTTCCGTTCAACTTCCGGAATGAACGCAGAATCCAAGCTCTCAACCCTTTTCACTCGAAATGCCAGGTGAATAGACCCCCGAGCTGTTAGGCCTTCTACTCGAAGCAATCTCTTTGCGCTACGAAAATCTTGTTTGCTTTAGTCCCTTGTCAGTGAAGAAATAAAATATGGGACGACGATAGACCAAAATACCGAACGAAACTCTGGCAACTTCCGCGAGATAGTATTGAGAGGAAGAAGTCTGCGAATTAGGGTTGTCACAGATGCAAGGTTCGACTCTGTACTCGTAGAGACTGTCTGTATACAGAAAAGACTGGATAAGTGCAAGAAAATTGGGACCCAAACGTTGCAGTTATCCAGACGAGGTTTCTATTCTGTGTCTCTTTACATTTGGCTCGAGTCGAGCGTAGAAAAGGACAGGGAGTGAAAGAGAAAGAGGGAGGCTATGTTTCGATCGGTAGACACGTCGGTCGAATGATCGATGTGTTCGATTTTTTTGGGGTGGCCAAAAATGTGGCCAAAATTAGAAAGAATTAAAATTGTAAGAGTTAATATTAACAATTAATAAAGCAAAATATATATACACTACAGACTCAACGACAAAGTTCCATCGTTACTCTGTCCTCATGTGACGTCACATAGATGATTTTATCTTTGCTTGAAAGGATTCAAGAGGGATGCAAGACAAAAGGACGAGCATCGCGATAACAGTGAAAAACAGTATGGTGTCACATTTTTCATTCCATAAAATATCACTCGATTAAGTTGTCGCGTGACGCGTACGCGACAGTCAAGTTTACTGTCAACGACGCGCGAAAGTGGGCCGAGGGCAAGGTGTTAACTATCGTGGTAATTGAACAATTTCAGGCATCCTCGAGCGACAAGACGCCCACTGGCTTCGGGTTCTCCGCGTGCATTCCAATCGGTAGGAACGGATCCCGCGAAAAACAGAGTGAATTGTCCCGTTAGTAAAGAGAAACAAGGAAGACGAAGGGTAAACCGAAAACCACTTGGAAATTGGGTCGCCGGCGTGAACGATGGTCCATCATTAAAACGACAGTAATTACGAGGGTCTTCAAAGCCACTCTGAGTTAGGAAACAGCATTCGCGAAGTGGATGCCTGATTGGCGAGCATGGAAAGATCGACTACTTCGTTGCGGACTTGACTGATAACCGATTACTTCATTCATTTTGCTAATATAATAATTTAAATATTTATCCATACTTAGTACGACGATATACATAAGGTCTCCAGAAATGCACAAATTTCTCTACCATAAATGCACAGAAACCAGCCCCACCACTGGGGGGACCTCTTAAGGGGTCTAGGAGTTCTATCCTCGAGTAATGTAAACATAATCCGGGATCGGTTTACTCGGTGAGACAATTTAATGCAACGGTGAAACTTTTTTATTATTAACTTTTTTATTGTAAAACTTTTACCATCATATTCCTGACATTTTTCTGATTAAAATGAGACCAAACACGACGTAATTCGCAGCGTATTTACTTATGACAATTTATTATGTATCGTATATCGTAGAACACTAACTAAACAAAGATTCATGGTAAATATCATCAGAATTATATCCTGTTTATTCTCACTTTAATCAGAAAAATGATGGTAAAAGTGTTACAACAAAAAAGTTAATAATAAAAGTTTCACCGTTGCATTAAATTGTTTCACCGACATACCCTGGTATTTTCTCTCCTCTTCTTTATTCGCTGTCCTTCGTAGCTCCTCGGCAAACATCAAAGAATATACGAACTCTGCGATAAACGCACAATGTCAGTCCCGAGCTTGTGCATTTATGGAGACTTTACTGTACCAGCATCGCTACCGATGAACCATGAACATATTAAACTGTAAATCGTAAACGCTAAAATTTATAGTGCATGCGACGAAAGCGTTTCTTGATATTAAAAATTTATTAAAATTCTGTAAAATATGTATACATTTGATCGAGCTCGTTCTCTGAGTCATTTTAGATTGCGTAACGCAAAGCTGACATAAAATTTGCGATGATAAAGGGGAATTCGAGAAGCTTTGTGGGTAACTAAGGAAGCTTTTGAAGGGTTGCTCGTACCACAAGGAGTTGGAAGGATGTACTTAGATATATATATATATATTGTACGCTAATGAATAATTTACCTGATATTATAATACAAATGTAAATTGATGTTAAATGGACAATTGAAAAGTAACAAGTTTCCATGTGTTAAGCTTTATTATTATGCAGTTTATTAAGTGCTCCTGTATTCCAGTAATTTTATAAGATAATCTCTATTTACATGTATATTTATATGGTAATATAACACAAAGGAATCACAGCAGCTTTTTCCACAGAAATCAAAATTGCAAGTCTCCTCGGGCAATTATTACTCTTTTTTTGTTTCATTTTAAATGGCGCGAAGTATCCTTTTAAATACATCCTCGGTACACTTGACAAAGATAATTAAAAGCACGATACTCGAGAAGCTTACTCTGTTACGAGACGTAATAGTAATACAGTATATTGCCAATTATGAGTACGATAAAGCACCTGAATTATTAAAATGAAGGTGGAACTGTTCTCACTATTTATAATTTATGTATGTACAATCCGTTACAAAATTTGCAATTATTTATATGCTTAATCATTAAAACTTCACTCTAATGAAGTGAAACAAGAGAAGCTTAGCAATCATCTAATATTATAATTTAATTAAAAAGAGTCTTTAACCGTATTGGCAATTTGTATCGATCATCAAAATCAAATTTCAATCGAGAAACGGACAATAGAAACATAAACATTGAACATTCCTCAAACATGATTCGTGATATTGATTCATCTCTCGCCGTTAAACGTTCTCGCTATTACAATTTGCCACCATTCAGTGTCTCATTAGCTCTTTGCAATTGCATTCTTTCGGAATATTAATTAACAAACTTAAAAACAAAAGAAAAAGAAGAAGAAAAAACGATTACTAGGAGAGATCGAGAACGTTTCGTTGAACTTGATACTTGCTTCGCGTAAGTTCTTCGTTACCTTACGCAATGTACATTAATCGGATTAGAACATGTATCGTGGATTGTCTTTCTTTCTCATCGTTATGGTAAACCAACGATTATACCGCTTCGACCGATATTCCCTGGAACGTTTCAGCTGAAGTAGCGAAATTCACAATTGAAAATTTTAAACGAATTACAGATGAAACGTTAAAATACGAGATCACGAATTTTCACGGCGGTATGTACACCAACGAAATTGATCCCTCGAGCTGGCAGGTGTTCGCAGACTTCAGTCAGGAAACGAAGCGTTTCGGTGTCAGCGCGGTTACAATGTCGAAATATTAAGTATGTTTACGTCGAAGGATCAATTGGATGGTTCGGTTGTAGGTTTCGACTCGTACCGTCGATTGGTCTGTGTTCGTGTGTGACCAACGGGATCGGTGTTCGAAGGGCGTGAAGTAATTTTAAGTTTATTCATTCACCTCGATACTTCTTATTTGTAGATTTAATAATGATGCTGATAATAATAATAATATAATAATAAACATAATAATAATAATAATAATAATAATAATAATAATAATAATAATAATAATAAATCGTCATTTAGAATTATTGTACATCGATATATTATTTAATATAATCTATTATATATATTCTATATTAATATAGACTTCTATCTGATTCAATTAAATTCTTAAATCTTTATAATTTTTTGTTATCACCTGCCGAGTAAATTCTGGCAACACGAGTGAGAAACACTTACTTAACGGAGAAAGAAAATACACCACCATAGCGTGTCGTCAGTTTTACATTTTAATTCTCCACGCGCCATGTCCGAGAACGTCGAATATCACCTATTAAAACGATCACAAGGGGACGCGCGACGTCATCCGGACGTGCGCATAAAATTCATACAAAAGAAAAAAAAAGAAAACAGGAAAGAAAAAAAAAATAAAGGTATAACAGCAGCATCGATGATCTTCACTCTCTCGACATGGCGCCTGTACCGTTAAAACGTTTTGGAATTGACTTGAATAGTTCCCTATATGAACGTTATATATCGAGCCCTTCGGTAATCACGTAAATAAATCACATGCGTGATTAGAAAAAACGACGGTGCTAAAAAGGACTAGAAGCTACATTAGAATTAGTAAAAACGAAGACTAAATTGTTAAGCGAACCATATAACACGTTCGTAAACAAACAGTATTTTTTTCCCTCTCTTACGATTTTTTGTACTTTTTTGATTAGGGTTCATCGTTTGGCCGTGCCAGTTACCGCAATATCTTTGTCCGTCCGCGAATACAGTGTATACCAGGCATAATCTTGGTGCTTAAATTAGTGCTACTTGTTTCTCTGCCCTTCAACCTCGCCTCTTACTTTTCTGTTCTATATCCCGCTGAAGGAAATACGGTTCAACTGGTACTTATTTATCGTTAGGTCAACTGTAAGTGGCCACAGAGAAAACCAAAGATGGGCAAAATTTTATTCGAATAATAGACGACGAATAAAAGCACCGCGTAACCATTTATTCGCCACGTTTCATTCGTCAAAACGCGAATCGAATTATTTCATTTTATAACGAAAATCGTAATTTTTATTGAGCAGATAACGAACCAGAAGTTTTGTTTATCTTTAATTACTTATTCGAAATGTTTATTTAGATAAGAATTTTGCCCCTCTCTGAAGAAAACACAATGCTCCGCCCATGTTTCCCGCCAGAGAAATGTGTCGTTGTAATTTCGCTTTTACGCTAATTAACACAGCTCGAAGTTAACAAGTGATTCAAAGACGATTACAGAATGTTTCCCAGCCCTTATTTACTATCATCGAAAATCACATGGTCTATACCCGAGTCTCCGAGCACTTTCACACTCGACCAGACGAAGAGTGCGACGGTCTTCGTAAACTCTTACAATTATGCTCCCTCCGAAACAAATAATTTCTCTCACGACTAACAAGCGAGAATTCTTTTCCCCCTAATTTCGTATTCGCAGCGAATACGATGAAACGGAAACGTCTCCGAAGAGTTTTTCTCCCAAGTGAGCAGTATGTACAACTAATTTTAGAAAGAACTAACGATCCTTTTTTTTAAGTCAAAAAATTGATTTCTACTAATTTAATGTATAATTCTCTTTCGCCAGTACTTTCACCGTCGCGATTTTACAATCCAAAACTGACAATGATTCATACCAATTATAGTAACACCATTTAATATAACATCATCGTTATAAACACATTACGAAAATTAATGTTAAATATCATTTATATAGTACAGAGCCGTGTTTTTTTTTTTTTTTTTTTTTAGCAGCGCATAGAACTTCTCGACCGAAAATTAACCAAACACAAAGTACTTTTAGCTGTAACAAAAGTTTCATTTCTTAACTCACTGCCCGTGATTCGGAATCGTACTTTAGCTATAATAACGATCATTCGATGCGTAGTTATACATACGAATAATAATAAATTAATACAACAAATACTCATATTAATTCATAAACGTGTGATATAATTAATTATATGAATCAATAAGATTTCGAATATTCAGCAGTTCGTTGGCCAATATTAATGTACAAATGTCGTGCAAAGAAAAAATAATACATTGCCAATGAAGATGAGCGAATCGTAACGCCCGTATACTTTCTCTGCCACGTTCAGAAATTTAATTAGCATTCTCGAGATCTTGCGTTGTAAGTGCAGCAGCAACAAAATTATGGAAAAAAGTCTTCTCGTGTGAATTTAGTTAACTTAACCGATTGCACCTCGCTATTCGTCTTCCGTGTCACCGTCGCTACTGTAATCTTGCAAAACAGCTGGTCTCAAGAATGGCGCATTGTTTGTTTGGCTGTAACGTTAACAATTGTAAGATTATTTTAGGAACAATTTTGGATTATGTACGAAAAGTAATTTAAGATGAAGTTTTACTTACGCGAGCCTTCGATAATGATTCAACCATTCTTCCAACATTTGTGCTACGAGTAAAGGTCTCTTGTGAAGTTTCTGTTGCGCAACAAGGACACCACCTTCGGTCCTACATACGTCGAGCCATTCCTTCAATATAGATTCCTCTCTGCCAACTTCTTCCGGACTCAGAAAGTGTATGGGTAAGAGTTTGTGTTCTCGATCCATTAACGGCATGAATGTAGTTTGCATTTGTATTTGTAGCTGCTGAAGAGGACCGTTACCGCCACCCAAGCCGACACCACCGTGAGATGAGAGAGGTGGTATTCTAGACGATGCATATGGTTCGATGGGAACCAAAGCCGTGAAATGACCACGGGTATAACCTAAAGCGATAGGCGATCGAATGCAAAACGAAGGTTCCCATAAAAGCGGAAGGTAAACACCTTCGAATCTCGCATAGCCTGTAATCAGAATAGTTTGGTCGGTTAACGGTTGAATTATTTTCTTTTGTCAAAAATAAACAAATCTTACGCGACAACCTACCTATGTCTTCGCCCCTAAAACTTTTAACGTATTTAACACCATAAACGATGATAGGTCGCCTTAAAATGTGAGCAAGAGCAAACACGTGCAACTGTTCTAACGCGCTTCCTGGTTGAGCAGCCGTCGCTAACAAACTTTCCCAGTCTTCTTGCCATTGGGTTTCTTCTAATGTAAAATCCAACATTCTAGACGCTTGCGATGCTTCGTATTCCCTCCATCGAGGATAAAAACTGAAATAAAGAAACCATAGACGATTAATTAATGATACATCTAAGCTGGTGTGGCGTTCTAGGTTCAAATGGAAACATCGTTAGTCGCAAAAGTTACTTACAATTGGCCAGCTTGTTGCAAAGAATCGGCAAGAGCTCTCCTCAAAGCGTTATCTCGATCAAAAACACCCCAAGTAGCTTGCATCGCAGAATCTAATAAACAATCTCCAGCAGATCTATTCCAAAGGGCGTGTAAGCGACTTCCTAAACGCTCGGTAATCTCTAAAGACCAATTCAGCGCCGGTGGTTCCCCTCCGCCACCTTCTAATTGCTGTTGAGCCTCTTTGTCTAACAACTCCTCTAACATTTGCTCTTGCACGATGCTTGGTAAATCCTCGACCTGACAATTAATTCTGTACTTATATTTGTGTGTTACGTGGACAATTGAAATTACATCGAGAAATGAATAGTTTTAACTACGATACCCCAAAAAAGAATTATAATATTATAGTAACCTCGGCAGGTAAAGCGAATGTAGCTATGTCAGTGACAAAATAACATGGAAAAGAACCCTTGCGTAATCGGATACTATTGGTGACGTGTCTGCGTATTTGTGCAGCCAAATCTGGTGCAACGTAACTTGGTACCCTTTTTATTCCAGAACCGGAACCTTCAATTTGTGATAATAATGTCGCTAGAATATCTTCTCTTTGAAATCTGTCAAAGTTATGACAAATTGAATAAGGAACGCTTTGAAAATTTTGCCTTTCTAACACAACAATATCGTATAATACATAATCAGGGATGGGCGCGCGTTCAAATAATTTTCTAACTGATATACATATAAACACACAAATGAATATAGAAAATGATGAAGCAGTATAGAACCTGTATAAGTTTATATTACTAAAAAAATTTCTATGTATATGTTATATATCAACGTTGGTTGCATAATCTTTTCAAAAATAATTTCAGCTTCTACATGCTCTCAACGATATATTCGTGTTTAAATCATTTGTAATTTCTACAAAATTTGCATACCGATAATGTTAATAACGAACTTTTATCTCTCGATAAGGATGTAAAAACGACCGTCGAAACGTTGAGAAAGAAAATACGTTTCTACATACGAAGATATTCGTCGTTCGAATACTTCCTTAAATACATATTGCGCCCATACCTGTATATAATATACAGTAACATTTATTGTGCTCTGTGTATAAGGAACAAGTTGAAACACAGCCAAAAAATATATATAATCGTACAAATATATAAAATAATCTAAAATAGCTTTAAAGAAATCCTTTGTCAAAAATTATATCCCACTGACCTAATAGCTAAGTGCACTAGAGTGTGACCAACATCAAAAGCGCTACTTCTATTTAGAAGCAGAACTTCCGAATGCGTCAACTGACGAGCAGGATCACCGCCACTTGCCAAATACGCTTCGACAGGAGCATTCTCGCCCTCCACAATGCCGAGACACGCGTTTAACCAACACCAATCGGTGTGACGTCTCAGCTGTTTTACTCTACGCTCGTAGTCGCAATTATTAGGAGACTGAGGAGTAGACAAACTGTCGTTTCTGCTGTCGGGATATCTATGCGAACTCCTACAACATAAGAATGCGACGTTTTTAGTATAAAAACACTTTTTCTGTTGAAAAATTAGGGACCACCCGCTTCCTATACATTTACCTTCGTCCTATCGCCGTATTCTCGTCTCTCTGATTCTGATGAATATACTGTGCATGGGGAGGGGAAGGTAAGTTACGTTGACTATGATCCCTCTCAGGACTCGGCAGAATGACACCCATATTATTGGTTGTCTTTTCCCTTTTGTCCTTTTCCTTAGGATGACCGCACATCACGCACTTGGTAGCTTTCGGCCAATTTTCGTAAGTACACACGAGACAAGACCATTTCTCCGGATGTAAATTTGTTTGTAGATTGTAATATTTCTCTGGATGTAAATTTATCGGGGCGGGATTGGATCCCGAATTTGGCGGTGGATCTCCTAACCTGAGGGGTGCTAGGTGCTCGTGCAAATTCGAAGCTACAGAGTGTATCGACTGAATAAGACCCGTAGATTTTCTATTCCCACACTGAACACATCGTGTGGTATTTTGATAGTTAAGATAGGTACACATTGCACAAGACCACTTTCCACCTGATGGTACATTTTGACTATAGTTCTGAGGACTAAGATTATACGAGTCTGTGGGACTCAAATGAGTTACTGGACCAGAAGCGACGTTCGATCCAGACCGTTGGGGACTCGGATCACGTAGGCGGTAAATGTCCTCACCTAACAAAGGCTTAGCACCCCTGCACATCGTGCATTTCAAAGACGAAGGCCAATTTTCATACGTACAATATTCACAGGTCCATTTCGACTCCTGTTCCTCGAGCCTGTTATTCATTTTTCTCTGTATGGCCAGTTGTCGTGCGAACTCTATCGTTTCTAATGCATAAACAGTGTAATACCGACACTCAAATTAAATGTATTTAAGAAGCATGGAGGTAGAGTCGAAAGTTACATTAAATATCTGACAAATTATCGGTGCTTATAGTAACAGAATTTTGCATATTTCGAGTGGTAAGCATGCGACGCAGAGATAATTTCCATAAATATCAATGGTACTATTCGTTAGTTATTGAATGTAGTTTATGTCATGTGGTAAACATGTCGAATGGATACGTGAAAATAAAAGCTGCCACGGTAATGCGAATGTAGACAGCTACCAAAGCCTGTAAAGAAAAAAGAGAGAAAATATGAGTTTGATAGAAAGATATACGTAAGTAATTGTTTTTGTAAATAATAGTATAGATAACAGAAAAATACACGTAAAATAGATTAGTTCCTTCTCTTTATCAAAAACGCGAGGTAATCGAATGAATAAAAAGGCAAAGTATGTTTTTTATCGTATTTATTTACCGTTATTTTAGCGAAGGGATTAAAGTCGAAAGACACCGAGTCCAAAGCAAAACGCGGCAAACTGTAACAGAGGTTTGAAATGTGACTGACCTCTGGCGCTTTTATGTCACGCCGAGCGTCACACGTCAAAGGGAAACGCGGAGAAGATTCGCGGAAACAAAGCGAAGACAGGAAAGTGACAGACAGGAAAATGTTTGCTACCTGGCAGAACTCGAGCCCGATGTTCCAAAAGTTGTTGTCACGCGCGAATAAGCTCCATCGATGAACGATGCGTCGGCCGATCGTTGTGAAACTGACGTGCGAGGACGAACGCTGGAGATCGGTGGTATCACTCGCTACGGCCAGCAGCCCACTGTAATCGACATTCAAAAGAAGAGAGCAGGTTAAGGCACGGGTCGCGAAAACAATTTCTGCGAAGGACGAAAAGCCGCGCGCCTTCTCTCCTCGCGATGGAATCGAAGCGAATCTTCTTTCCCCACCGACGAAGACCCGAGGCACGTCACTCGTCGAACGGATAAAAACGTACACGCACGAAACGAGACAAGAAACCTCTATCTTTCTACACTCACTCACTCCTTGAAAAACAGACGCGCGATTTTCCTTGGCGGCTGCACTTTGCGCCCCTTTCCCTCCTACGAGTCAAATGCAGTCATGATATTTTCCATCGAACTGGCATGCAAAGCTGCGGACTTCGCTGAGAAAGTAGGTTTTGACAATTATCCGCAAACAGATGTCAGTGCTGCCAATGTCACGTGACGGTGTCTCGCGAAATCGACGTTAGAGGGCCACGGACATGGAAAGGATTCTCGCGAGTGACGAGAGGCGTTTAAATCTGCACGTCACGAAACAGAATCGAGCGGAACTTTGTTCGAACGATACCTGCTGGAAATATTTAATAAACAATCGGGAATCGTACGAGCGTTCCGAAATCGTCGCTGGCGATCGATTCCGAAAGGAACTCGCTTTAAAATATAGTTATCCAAAACAGAGATTTCGAGTCATTCGATAGGAAATTGTTCCATGTTCAAGTCGTCCCGCGTTAGCCGATGAATTCTAACCAGCAGACACCAGACGAACGCGAAATTCCCTTTTCTCTCTTATTCCTAAACCTAATGTCAGTCGTCACGGTCACTTCGTTCGTAATAGTCGACATTCCGTGCAGTTACGTCACGCGATTCACTTAGTCATCATCGTCCCTTTAAATCGACTCGTCCTTGAAAGCAATCGGAATCCGCGAGTGATTTTCGCCTTAGAATTTGTTAGAAACAACAAAAACAAATGGACTTTCACGATCGCCACATGTATGGTTGCACTGATAGTACCATGTCCGCTTCCGGTTTTTAAGATGCACCACGCACTTCTCTTTATCTCGCCATTGACACTTTGATACCGATTTCGAGAACGTTCCGGTTACTTTTGATGGCCAAGATATGTACGCGTGGATTAATTAAAGACTTGGTCAGTGGTGCTTTGATTAAGATGCAAAATGTTCCTTTAACATCTACTCGTTCAAGCAGCGTACACAGGGAAAACTATTTTTTATTTATAAATATCTTGGGCCGTGCGCCAAATGGGACTTAGCCTAGACACTTATCCTTGACATTTGATTGACTGCGACTGTATCACCGTACTAGAAATAACATATATCTAATACGGAAGAAAACAATTTTTATTCTTCGTTGTTTACGTACCCCGCTTACGAGAATTGCGCTTTCCTAGGTATCGTCCGCTAAGTAACCAATGGGTGCATTCAGACAGGGCACCGCTCGCTAAGACGCTCCGTGAGCGGCTGAATTTACAAATTTTTCGCTCTCAAACATAACGCTCCTTGATAGTAGCCAATCACTGAACTACATTAATAATTTTAATTTCATTTTATTTACGTACGAAGCTGTAGAAAATTCAGCTATAGCACTCCAACTATAATAATACTGGTTTTAATACTAGTGGCGCCATCCGTGGGAAAGCGCCCAAGTTTGTAGAAAGAATAGTTTCCACTGTCAATGCTAGATGGCGAGTTGTTTTATCTAGTGGCGCCATCGGTGGGAAAACGCCCAAGTTTGTCGCCCCCCAGTAG